GGAGTTTAAGACAAACCTGGGCAACATAGCGAGACCTCCATCTCTACAAAAAATAAAAAAAATTAGCTGGGAGTGGTGTCACAGGCCTGTAGTCCTAGCTGCTTGGGTGGCTGAGGCAAGAGAATTGCTTGAATCCAGGAGTTCCAGGATTGTGCCACTGCACTTCAGCCTGGAAACAGAGTGAGATCCTGCCTCTAAAAAGAAAAAAAAATACTAAGAAGTTTGGGTTTCAACAATGGGGAGCCATGAAAGTGTTGTGTTTTTGTTTTGTTTTGTTTGAGACAGGGTCTCACTCTGTCGCCTAGGCTTTAGTGTAGTGGCTCAATCATAGCTCACTTTAGCTTCGAACTCCTGGGCTCAAGTGATCCTCCTGCTTCAGCCTCCTGAGTAGCTGGGACTACAGGTGTACCAGCTAATACCCACCACGCCCAGGTAATTTTTTAAAAAATCTTTTTGTAGAGATGGGGTCTCACTATGTTGGCCAGGCTGATGTTGAACTCCTTGTGGCCTCAAGGGATCCCCTTGCCTCAGCCTCCCAAAGTGCTGGGTTGATAGGAGTGAGCCACCATGCCCAGCCTAGAAGTTCTAAATTGGGAAGAAAGGTGATTAGATGTGTGTTTAAGGTAAAGCACTCACTGTAAGTGGGTCAAGGATTTGAAGGAATGAGTCTGGAAACAGATTAGGTGCATTGGACTCAATCCTCAGAAAATGCTTGTTAAATTGAATCGGAAAGTTGAAGACTGGGTAGGGGGCAGCTGTATAGGACACTGGAGGAGGAAGGAGTAGAGAACAGGTTTGCCACAATTTGCCTTCCTCTACATAGATGCAACCTTAGCTTTGATTTTGGGGAGAAACCAACCTCTGCAGCTACAATTTATTTTTCCACATAGCCATTTCATGTATTTTTCAATACATTTTTTCATTAAGATATAATTGACATGTAAAAATTCTAAGCAGGGTGCTGTGGCACACACCTGTAATCCCAGCTACTCAGAGGCTAAGGCAAGAAGATAGCTTGAGCCCAGAAATTGGAGTCCAGCTTAGGGAACATAAGGAGATCCATCTCTAAAAATTTTTTTGGTATAAACAGATATTATTGATCACTTTCTATAAATTAGGCATTGTTTTAGGCCTGGGATACAAAAAAACAAAATTGATACCCTAATGTAGCTTGCATTTTTTCCTAGTGGGAGGAGGCAGAAACTATGTTGAAATAAAATGACTATATAGCATGACAAATGGCAATGATCAGGAAAACAGAATAAGAGGGACAAGAAGTACAAGGAGGAGACGGCAACAGTGTCGAGGGTTGCTCTTTTAATTTATCAACATCAGGGAAGTCTCTACTGATAGGGCAACATTTGAACAAAAATTTGAAGGAAGAGGGCCAGCCATAAGGATAGCTACAGTAAGAGAGATATCCATGAAGATAGCAAGGAGTCCAAAAGGGATGGAATGGAATAAGCAAAGGGGAGAGTACTCTGGCTGGCAGAAGATGAGGTGGGAGAAGGAGGGCATGGGGAGAGTAAATTCTGTAGAATCTTGTAGAGCACCATGCTTAAGGCTTTTGTTCTATTCTGGGTGAGATAGGAAGCTATTGGATGGTTTTGGGCAGAGGGTGACATGATCAGTTTAAAATGATCACTCTAGCTGCTGTATTGAGAATAGATTTAATGGAACAGAGGTGTAGGCTGGGAAACCAGATAGGAGGATATTGTAAAAATCCAAGTGGTTAATGACAGGAATTGGACCAGGGTGGCAGTAATGGAACACATAAGACATAAACAGTCTCTGGATATATTCTGAAAATAAAATCAACAGGATTTCCTAACAGATAGAATGTAGGATATGAGGGGAAAAAAAGAGTTAAGAATGACTTTCAAGGTTTTTGTTTCTTTCTTCTTTTTTTTTTTTTTTTTTTTT